AAGCATAGGACTGGCCCTTCAGAATCAGGTTCTGGAGGATTCCTTCTTGTTAACTTCCTTGGGCTGATGGGCTTCCTATATGCAGAAATTGAGGGGTACACAAGGTATGACTCCTTCTTTCTCTGTTCTTAGAACAGGACAGAGAAGCTGCTAAAAGAGGAGGTATGTTTCCCATGCTAAGTCTAATGAGGACATCCTAGCCTCATCTTTACTGTGAGAAATGGCTTTCTTCTGTTGCTTATCAGCCTAAAACATTCATAAGCCTAGCCCAGAGTTATTTCACCAGGGACCTTTTTCCAAAGAAATGGGCCACAGGAAGGAATGTATAGAACACACAAACTATCACTTATGTGATGTGAATCAAATCAGAGGCCTTTCTCTGATGGCCCAAGGTCCCTGAAGAGTCTGAGTATCCTGTCCTCATTTCACCCACTGGCCCTTCTTCTTCAATATGCCTAAAGATCTCTTCCCTGAGATTCTATCTTCTCCTCTGTGGCAGGAAAAATGGAAAAACACCAGGATATTTATTTCAGAGTTCAGAAAGGCAGCCAGAGCTTTCTAAGACCGCACATAGACTTCATCTGACCAGCCAATCACAGAGTCTCAAAACTCAACAGAAAATGAGCAGAAAAAGAGAATCCAAAAACCCAGGCCAAATCCACAGCCTTCTGTTTAAGCCACTACTATCCATCATTGTCATTTGCCAGTGACTAAGTGCTGCTATGTGCTGGGTGGATGGCCGAAGAAGATTCCATGTGAGGGGTTACATTAGGGGGGAGGGGATAACCACTCACTGTGTGACCCTCAACAGGATGCATGGCAGGTCATACATAGCCATAATGGCCATCTCAAAGATATCCATACCCAGGGCCCCAGAACCTCAAATATGAAAAGGAAGCATGACTCAGAGGGCAGAGACATGAGAAGATGAAGAAAGGTCATTGAAAGCCAAGAAACACAGCAGCTGCCAAAGGCAGGCAGACTCTTCCTCTACCACCCACAAGAATTTGGCAACCTTGAGTCAGCAATGATAGGAAATGAATTCTACCAACAACTCAGATAATCAGGAAATCAATTCTCCCCCAAGAACTTCCAGAAACGAATGCAAGAGAGGATTCTAACGGTGTAACTCTGTTGAATGATATTACAATTTAATAAAATGAATATCATTAAATTATATTGAGGGGCTAGATGGGGTTGGAAGAGAAGGGAGAGATTAGAAGGGGTGACATCGATCAAGAGGCGTTGTACTCATAAACTGACATGTTGAATTGGAACATCCTTGTACAACTACTTAAAGATTAGATAGATAGTCAAATAGATAGATTGATAGTCAGATAGATAGATAGATTTTTTTTAATGAAGGAAAAAGCCAGGCACAATGGCTCATACTATAATCCTAGCTACACAGGAGGCTGAGATCTGAGGATAACAGTTCAAAGTCAGCCTGGACAGTAAAGTCCATGATATGCTTATCTCCACTTTTAAAGAAAAAAAAAAAGCTGGAAATGGTTCTGTGGCTCAAGTGATAGGACAGGAGGAAAAAAAAAGGAGAGAAATAATAGCTTGATGACACCTTGATTTTAGTCATATAGGACCCATAATGGACTCTGCTGAACTACAAAACTAGAACTGATTTCTTTTGGGGGGGGCGGGGGTAAGGGGAAGGTCGTGGTGCCTGAACTCTGGGCTTGAGTACCATCCTTCAAGCTCTTCAGCTTAAGGCTAGCATTCTACCACTTGAGCCACAGCACCACTTCTGGCTTTTTTCTTTTTGCTTATGTCCTGCTGAGGAATCGAACCCAGGGCCTCATGCATGCAAGGCAAGCACTCTACCACTGAGCCAACTTCTCAGCCCTAGAACTGAATTTTTAAAATTTCTATATCCCCTAAACTTAGACATAGTAAGTTGTTACAGCTGCATTCAAAGATGGATATGTGATGTAACCTGAATAAATCACTCTTCTCCACTGGACTGGAGCTTTGCTGTCAACCAACTGCAAAGAACAGACAAGGTGATTTCTAAGTGTCTGGCCCACTGTGGAAGGTGGACCACTCTCTTGATATCTGCCTCCCCCATAGCTCTGTCCTGAGTCTTAAGATGGATTTAAGTTGAAGACCATTAAAATAAAAGACCAGAAAAACGTAAATGAAAGAAAAAAGTCCTCTTTAAAAAGTTAAACAGTTACCAGGTGCCAGTGGTTCATGCCTGTAATCCTAGCTACTAAAAAGACTGAGATCTGAGGATCATCGTTCATAGCCAGCCAGGGCAGGAAAGTCCGTGAGACTCTTCTCTCCAATAAATGACCAGAAAACTGGAAGTGGTGCTGTGGCTCAAGTGGTAGAGCACTTGCCTTGACCTGAAGAGCTGAGGGGCAGGGTTCAGGCCCAGAGTTCAAACTCCATGACTAACAACAACAACACAACAACAACAACAACAAAAAATCCAGAAGTAAAGCCGTAGCTTGTGATAGAGAACTAGCATTGAGCCAAACAAGAAGCTCAGGCTTTGATACAAGCCCCAGGTTCCACACTCACACACACACACACACCACACACACACACACACACACACCACACACACACACACAGCAGAAAACTCCCTGGTACACACACACACACACACACAGCAGAAAACTCCCTGGTACACACACACACACACACACACACACACACACAAACAGCAGAAAACTCCCTGGTACACACACACACACACACACACACACACAGCAGAAAACTCCCTGGTACACACACACACACACACACACACACACACACACACACACACACACACACACACACACACACACACACACACACACACACACACACACACACACACACACAGCAGAAAACTCCCTGGTTTTCCACTTGCTACTTCAGTGACCAAACCCCAGAGGAATGAAACAGGAAGTCTGGAAAAGGAGGAAGAAAGCCACAGAATCAATTGGTAGAGGCTTCCCAGAGCACTGAGTTAAGGATTCAGGGGCCCTGTGGATTAGTGATAGCTAGCTACCTGAAGCAGAGATTAGGGGCAGTAACCCGTATATGAGATATCTGTCATTATTAATTGCAACTAATTTGGGACCAACAATTTGGTTTTTTGTCTCTTCTTCCTCCCCCATTTCATTCTCCAGATCCAAAGTAGTCACCAACAAGTCATCCACTTGCTGACACTCAACCAGCCAATCAGAGTTCAGTTCATTAATTTGAAGTGCACAGTTTGAATTTGACTTGAGGCTTTACTGACAATTCTAATTCTAGCCTGTTCCTCTTTATTCTATCCAAAGTTTAGCCTTTAGTGCTCTGTTTTCACTTGAGGTTTACCTTTGCCACCCAAGTGAGATAATGATCCACTAATACATAGACGATCAAATTCTGACTTAACTTCCCCCAAGTAAGGGAAGATGGGAAGCCTGGTTCTCCAGAATTCTAAAGCAACTAAAGGGATAGACCCTGGAGGCAGACTGCTTGGAATCTGCCAATTACTTCCTGGGTGAGCAACTCTCTGGAGCTCAGGATATCTTCCATATCTAATAGGATATGGAAGAGGCTAAATAATAAATACATGTAAAATGATGAGAATTAGATCTTGCTAAATAGTAAGCACTTGATTAATGTCAGGCTGGGTCCGCCAGGGTGGGGCGCTGCAGGGTGCAGTGGTCTGTGATAATGTCAGCATTTACTCCTATAAACTGGGGGGGTTGGGTTGGGTGGGGAGAGGGGTTGCTGCATCTGCCTTTATAAAGACAGATCCCTTTTCCCTGGGGATATTCCCTTTATTTATATGTTTAATACACAGATGGGAAAAATACATTTTTAAGAGGAGAATCAGAATTAAGCTGGGGAAACGTCTGTGTTAACAAAATATCCTCTGTCACCCCTTCAGCCAGTACCTGGCCCAACCACAGCCCCCAGGGTCTCGAATACATTTTGTGTCTTTGACATCTCATCACAGACAGCTCCACGGGGCGGAGGGGGGGAGGGGGTCTTTCTGGCTACGGAAAGTCGGAGAGCACCCCCAAACCTGTGGTGCAATGGAGCCCTGAGGGGGTCCTGGTTGGTCAATGTGAAGATTTGAGGCCGTGCGACTCACTGCGCTGCGACAGACAGTTGCACATGCCCGGGCTCCGATGGGACCGGAGAAACACTTCTGGGCAGGTTTGTTGTTGTTGTTGTTGTTTTGCTTTTTTTTCCTAGCCGGCCGGAGCGCAGGTCCAAGCGGAGGTCTGGACGGCTAGAACCCGCAGCTTCCACCGCAGCGCCGGCTCCCAGAAGCCGGCACCCACTGGGCAGAGGGCCGACCAGGGCAGCCATCGCCCTGGGACCCGCAGTCCGCTAGCCAGCGAGGAACGAGCGGAGCCGAGAGCCGGAGCCCGGCGGAGCCGCCCAGAGTAACGACCCCGACAGCCGCCGGTCCGCAGCCCGCGCCTCTCTTCTCCTCCTCTCTCACTGAGCAAGCACAGACCGCCTTCCACTCGCCCGCCCTACGCCGCCCTGAGAAGGTCAGGGAGGCAAGGACCCTTGGAGGAAGCGATTCGAAACGCAATCTGCGAGCTCAGGGAGAGGAGCGCGGACCCAGGCGGAGCAGGCCTCGGCCCCGGCACCCCACGCCCTTGCTCGTTGGCTTTCCGTCTGCACAGAAGGTTTCACAGACGGAGAAGCGGGTGTGGAGGCGCCGGGGAAGCAGCTGGGGCAGGCTGGGGCCCGGGGCCGCCAGTGCCCGAGACGAGCGCCGTCCACCCGGGCTGACACTGTCGGCGCCGTGGCCACGAGGAGTCGGGCGCAGGGAACCCCGAGCTCCGCGCTGGGGCTCTCCCATCCGAGCTCAGCTCGTGTGCAGAGGGCGGCGGGAGCCCGGAGGCGCGGGGAAGGGAGAGCGGCGGGGAAGGGCGCGAGGGCTCGGAGGAGAGCTGCAATCCAGGGACCTGGGGTGGGAACGCCGCGGAGGGCGCGGGCCGAGGACCCCTGCCCAGCGGGAGCCCCCACAAACAACTCACCTACGGGTCGCGGCGCGGCCTGGGCAGCTCGCGCCCCCGCCGCAGTCGAGATCACAGCGAGTCCGCGGCCGCTCGGCGCTTCTCCGCGGACCCACGACCGCTCGCGATCCGGCGGCCGGAAGCAACAGCCAGCCTCGAAACCTCAGCCGCAGGCGGCGCTCAGAGCCTCCCCGGCCGTTCGAGCCCCTCCCAGCCCGGTGCAGCCCGAGTGCGCGTCCGGACGCAGAAGTGTGGCTCTTACCCCGTGCGCCGCGCCCGGGAGGCTCCGGAGCGCGCGAGCGCTGGAGACGGGACCGCCCCCGGGAAGCCGAGCCCCCGGCCCGGGTGGAACTGCCTTCCCCCGGGAAGTCTGTACCCTCGGCCCCAGAACACAACCGGTCCTGTTCCGCCCCAGCTCCTGCTGCTGGGAGCGAGGAACTGTAAGGGACTAAAGGAGGCTGGAGTGCACTGGCCGTCGTCTCTTGGCAATCTACTAGCTGGGTTGTAAACCAGAGGGTGGGCCGACTATGTGTCCTCCAAGATCATTTCCAAATATAGTCTAGACATTTTTTAAAAAAATGGCTGGGCACGGGTGGCTCATGCCTGTAATCCTAGCTAATCAGGAGGCTGAGATCTGAGGATCGCAGTTCAAAGCCAACCCGGGCAGGAAAGTCCATGAGACTCTTACCTCCAATTGACCACCTGAAAACCGGAAGTGGTGCTGTAGCTCAATTGGTAGAGTGCTCGCCTTGAGCTGAAGAGCTGAGGGATAGCGCCCAAGCCCAGAGTTCAAGCCCCACAACCAAAAAAAAAAAAAAAGGCCTAGCTAGTGGGTTTGGATGAAGGAGCCAGAATTTGGGGTTCTTGCTGTCAATGCCTCTTGCTTTTTCCCTGTAATGGGAGGATAACAGAGGCCTCCTCCCAGCCCACTCATGAGGACTGACTGAGGAAGATTTGGGCGAGCTGGTTGCTGGTTTGCCATAACAAGCCTCTAAGCATCCTGTGCATTTTGTGTAACCTGGATATCCAGGGAGATCCACAGTCCATTAGAATGCAGCCTGAGAGGTTACTCATCCCCTCTCTGTTCATCCCCTTGTATTCCCAGTGTCCACACAGACCAGGGTCAACTTCCCAATTCCCTGCTCCCCTCTTGGAGAGAAGACTCATATATTTTAATTTAGCAGTGGTTTCCTCTGATTTTACTCTTGGCAAGTCTGGGAAAGGAGTACAGGCCTTGCTTCTGCGGTGATGGGGTATAAGCCTTGAACGAGGTACTACCTCTCCCTCTCCCACAAACACACAGGCTTTCTTTCCTCGGACTCAGGGATGAGATCAACAAATGACATCAAATCATCATTACCAGATGCCACTGTTTTAGAGAGAGCGCAATGAGGATGAGAAGTGATTTGACGAAAACTTGTTAGGCTGATAATAGCCTGTTTTAAAAGAGAAAACACAGGATCCTGAAAATACGGGCATTCCAAATACCTTAAGACAACGCTCACCTCCGACAGAAAAAGAAAAAATATTGGAGGTCCTTATTTAATACAAACTGTCCTTTGGCTAGTGGAATGGGAGGAGGTCACCAACAGTATTAACAAGACTGAATGCACGGTGCTCTGAGAGTTGTCTTCCCTCCTGAATAGTGCAGAAATTGAGGACTGGAGCCACTGTCACAGATACTCTGTCTGCCTTTTCTTCACAGAGACCCCAAAAGTAAGCAAAAAAAAACAAAACAAAAAACCTGAATGCCCTAATAAAAGCAAACAGAATTGTTGCCCTCATTGGATTCTGAATCCCATCTACATAGGACATTTAATTTTCACTTATAGAAGTATGTTTTCTCAGTGATGAAGGATAACATATACACTAGATTGGAAATTAGGAAAGCAAATTTCACCAAGTAGCTAAAGATTCATTAGTCTCTCACTTATTTCACTTGTAAAATAGTAAAACAGAAACTGTTCTCTATGTTTAGTATAATCATTATGAGTAATGATTTCATTCATTAAAACTATTCATTGGCTGGGCATGGTAGAACATGCCTATAATCGCAGCACTTGGAGTTAGAGACAGGAGACTGTATTTTTAAAAAGCTTAAAATGATACAAAAAAGTATGATTTAAAAAAGAAAGAAAATTATTGATTCTTCATATTCTAATCATGAAGAAAACAAATTATCTTTATTGGTCATACTTACATCTACAAAATGCAGATTAAGTGCAAATACTCTCCACATCTTGTTTGGTTTTCTTCATACTTCCACAAACTGTTACCATCTGGCTTATTTACTGTTTAAAAAGTTAAAAAAGGAAAAATATTTTGTAGTGTTGACCAAGCATAATTTACCTACACACACATGCATATTTTCATCTCTTAATGTCTGCATTTGGGAGTGGGAAAGTTTTGGTTAATAATGATGTATATGCCCTATTTTACCACTTTAAGAAAAATAAACAGGAAGTTACTGTAGGAAGTTTTGTAATGATTGCTTTTGCCCTTCATTTTTCTTTGACATGGGGTCTTCTGTATACTCCAAGGCTCCAGTCTCTGCACCAGACCTGAGCTGTTTTGACTTCTGCTGGATACCTGGTATTTCAGACCAAACTCAGTTAATTATATGAAGTCGGTATTACCCAGATACCAAAGATATAAGAAGACTGTAGTTTATTATCTCTTATAAATATAGTCACAAACTCCTCAACAACTAGCAATTTGAATCTAAAAACTACGTAAGAATTATAGACCAAATGGTGAAGGGTTAAAGTACTTGAGGCAGTGACCATTTGTTGCTTGTTTCAGAGCAGAGCAACACGTGATGCTAAACCACCTGGCTGTGTGCCTTTGTAAGACCTGCAAATCCTAGGGGCTCTCCTCCTAGGCTCCACTGTGTCGGAGTGTAGGACGAGGCCCGAGCTGCAGCCCGTTTAAATAAAACTTTAAAACAGCTATAAAGTCTGACTCTCGGTGGTCTTCTTGGTGGGGGTCCTGCGACCTAGGCATAACAATGGGATCATACAGCCAACCTTGATTTATTCCAGAATGCAATGTTTAATATTCAAAACTCTATATATTATATTAATAGAATACAAAAATAGCATGATCATCTCAATAGCTACAGACTGAATGTAATATCTAGCAAAACACCAATTACCTTTCTTGCAGAAATGGACAAGATACTAAATTTATATGAAAATGCAAGGGGCCCTAAGGAGCTAAAACAATGTTTTGTTGGTAGTGTTGGTCATGACATTTGAACTCAGGGCCTGAGCACTGTTCTTGAGCTTTTTTGTTCAAGGCTAGCACTCTACCACTTTAAGCCACAGCTCCACTTCCAGTTTTTAGGTAGTTAATCGGAGACCTGAGTCTCACAGACTTTCCTGCCCCTGCTGGCTTTGAACCACCTTCCTCAGATCTCAGCCTCCTGAGTAGCTAGGATTACAGGTGTGAGCCACCAGCACCCAGCTAACTTGTTTCATTTTAAAAGATTGTTTTAGCTGGACCCTGCTTGCTCATGCCTGTATTCCTGTCTACTCAAGAGGCTAAGATCTGAGGATTGTGGTTCAAAGCCAGCATGAGCAGAAGAATCCATGAGACTATTATCTCCAATTAGCCACCAGAAAACCAGAAGTGGCTCTGTGGCTCAAAGTGGTAGCACACTAGCCTTGAGCAGAAAAGCTCAGGGACAGGAACCATGCTGAGTTCAAGCCCTACAACCACCAACAAAACAGAAAAGAAAAGAATTAGTTCAGAATTAAACCTTCATATTTTTGGTTAATTAATTTTCTTTTTGTTGTTGTTGTTTTTGTTTTTGTTTTTGGGTCCGGTCGTGGGGCCTGAACTCTGGGCCTGGGTGCTGTCCCTCAGCTCTTCAGCTCAAGGCTAGCGCTCTACCACTTGAGCCACCACTTCCGGCTTTTTTCTTTTTGCTTATGTGGTGCTGAGGAATCAAACCCAGGGCCTCAGGCATGCAAGGCAAGCACTCTACTACTGAGCCAACTTCCCAGCCCTGGTTAATTAATTTTCTAGAAAGGTACACAAAGAAAAAGTAGTGTCTTTAACAAGTGCTGGACTAGATATCCACTCCTACCTCACATCTGAGAAAACATTAACTCAAGATGGATGCAAGAACAAAAACTATAAAACTCTTTGAAGAAACATGGATTCTCTTTTCACTGGCATACAAAGAAATGTTGTTCTTCAATAGAAATAAGAAATATGTGGGTGGGATGTACCTCAATAGTCTAGCATGCAACAAGATGAAGGAAAAGGAAGAGAGGGAGGGAAGGAGGGAAGGAGAGAGGAAAAATATTGTGTCAGGCTTCTATGTGGATTAAACTTGAAAACCTTACACTAAGTAGAAGAAATCAACCACAAAGGAACACACCTAATTGAATTCCATATATATGAAATATCCCAAACAGATAAATCAATAGAGACAGAAAAGATTAGTCATTTCCTAGGATGAGGGACAGTAGAAGGAAAGGAATGTGGAATGATGTTTAGAGTACAGAATTTCTTCCTGGAGCAATGAACATCTTCTAAAATTGACTGGTGTGATGGTTATACAATTCCATGAAGAGATTAAAAGCCATTGGCTTATATACTTTAAATGAATCAACTATATATATATATGACATGTATTTTATACAATTGTAAGTTGAGAATATCTGGAATGACAGTAGGTATTAACATCCAATACTAATTCATTGTGAAACTTCCAAACAGAAGTTTATTTTCTAGCTATAGTAGCTTCACAACACCAAAAGGATCTAGTCTAGGTTATATTACAGACTATATAACAAAAAGGATAATCTTCTATGGATAATCAAGCCAAATAACTCACAAATATGATGAAACCCGTCATTTCTGGGAAACGAAGGTTCATGATCACAGTGATAGACTGATGAGAAAAATTAACCAGAACTTGGAAATAAATCAGGATAATGAGCTGTCCTGCCTACGTCATACTAGAGCATAGCCTAAAGACCACCTGACTTTGGGGATATGTGCTTTTGTCTGAATTATCACTTACTGTTAGTTAAGATCTAGATAGTTTATGAGCCTGTAACTTGTAGACTTTCATTTTGTGTCCAGTAAAAATGATTTGTTATAAACGAGAAAGTAACCTCAAAAGTTAAAGGCTCATTAACTAATTTTGTATCTAGTTCATCAGTTTTATTTCAGCCTTTGTCA